GGCCCGGGGAGCGCGGGCGCGTCCGCGCATGCGCGGGCGGTAACGGGTGGGTCGGGCCGGTTCGGAGTTACCGTTATGGGAAAGGCCTTCGAGGTCATCGAGTTTAGCCGTTAACCTGACACCAACGAGTCCTTAACTAAACCGCATCCCTAAGTACTATGTCTATAGAAGTCAATACTCCTCAGTACCTAGCGCTGCCGGGGTTGTCGTGGCTGAAGTGCAGGACCTGGCGCTTGCCCTTACTGAGACTTGGGCAACTGGCCTTGGCCCGCTGATCAGGCCTGTCTGGACACCCCTGTAGAGCTTCCGGCAGATCCACACTGCCACCCAGCTTAGTGTCATCTGCTAATTTACTAAGGGTGCACTCAATCCCCTCATCTAGATCACTGATCAAGATGTTAAACCAGGAGTGGCCCCAGTGCTGAGCCCTGGGGAACATCACGCATGACCAGCCAGCTGCATTTAACTCCATTGACCACAACTTATTTGACCTGGCCATCTAACCAGCTTTTAACCCAACAAAGCTTATGCCCATCCAAGCCATAAGAAGCCAATTTCTGTACGTGAATGCTGCGGTAAACGGTGTCAAATGCCCTACAAAGTCAAGATAGACAATATCCACAGCCTTTCCCTCATCCAGTAAGTGGGTCGCCCTGTTGTAAAAGAAGATCAGATTTGTTAAACAGGACCTGGCTTTTGTGTTGGTTTGGTGGGGTTTTTTTGTCGTGGGGGAAGGGATCAAGTAAAAAGCTGAGAAGCTCCCTCTGCTCTAAAACCAGCCAAGGAGCCATTAGTGGTACAACAGATGCACCACTGTGATTAACACACAAAAGAACTGATATAAGACCTGAGCAGAACAAGCAGAAAAAAAAAGAAGAGCTGTGCTAGAGAGGTGAGAAGCAGCGCTGGGGTGAAGATCCTGGTGTTTGTTGAGAAAGAAGGTAAAGAAGGTGCCCAAGCAGAAGTTTGCCTGCAGTGTATGGTGAGATGGCAGCTGTCCCCCTGCATTAATGGAAGAACGTGGTGTAACACTCCCTGAAGACACCAGAAGGGGTGAACTTGGCCAGTGGGCTTGAATTTTGTGGCCAGTGGACTCGGATTTGTTGCTAGTGGACTTGGATTATATAGCTGTGGAAGACCCTGGTGCCAGGAGAGGTGATGGTTCCCAAAGCAGCCCATGACTCTGTGAGAAGCCCAGGCTGGAGCAGCTCCGGACCTCGTGGGAAGGACTCATAAAGGAGAGGTTCGTGGAGGACTCTCTCCCATGGGAGGGACCCTGTGGGGAAGCAGGGCAGGACTGTAAGGAATCCTTCTTCCTAAAAAGGAGGGAGCGGCAGGAACCACCAGCCTGTGAAATGACTCTAAACCCCATCCCCTGTCCTCCTGTGCCACTGGGGGGAAGGAGGTGGAGAAATCGGAAACAAAGTAATTTGGGCCCGGGAAGAAGGGAGGGGTGGGGTAACATATGCAAGCACAGCTCTTTGTGTTGTCTGTGTCCTGTTTGTGTTTGACTAGTGTGAAATTAAATTATTATTTTTTTCCTCAAGTTGAGTCTGTTTTGCTCAGGACCTTAATCAGTGAAGAACCCTCCTTGTCCTTTGTCTTGACCCAAAAGCCTTGTCCTCCTTATCCTGGTATATGTGCTGGGGGCAGTTGAGTGAGTGGCCAAGGGGCTGCTTCTTTGTTCTCATGTTAGGCCCAAACCACACCTTTCATGAACCCATGCTGACTAGGCCTGATCACCTGGTTATTCTGCATGTATCGCGTAATAGTACTCAGAAGCTCCATCAGCTTCCTCAGCACCGAAGTCAAACTGACAGGGCTATAATTTCCTGGATTATCCTTCTGTCCCTTCTTATTTATGAGTGTCACATGGGCTTGCCTTATTGCACATGGGGACAGCCAGCTCCTGCGTCTTCAAGACTTCTGTCTTAAAAAGTATCCAGCCTTCCTGGACTCCTATACCCTTGAGAACTACTTCCCAAGGGATTCTATCAAGTAGCCTCCTAAACAAGTCACTTTCTTACATCAAAGTTCAATAAAGCTTGATTTCTGCTTGGGGTACCTCTCTACCATTCTGAAAAGCACCTCTTGCAGTCTTTCTGCAGTTCAAAGTGTATGCTTGGTTCTTCACACACATGCCCTCAGTGCATCCAGAACACTGCAGCAGGTCTCCCCCCTGTCGAGCTGTCCTCAGCTGTCACACTTTATTTCTACTTTGTCAGTCTCTAAAGACTTGTTCTCTTAAATCAGTATACCTTGCTCTTAATATGAAACCGGTTCTTCAGTTCTTTTTCTTTGATGATTCCCTTGTTCTGTGTATCTTCCAGTTGCTGGTGGAATAGGTTTTCACTCTGGAGCTGGGCCAATCACTCCTGCATGGATTCCTGCTTTATTATCAATTGCCTTGCCCAATTTTCTGCAGTTGTCAACCACAATCGCATTCCTTTCTTTGCCTGACACTGGGCTAGACTTAACTCTTTTAGTGTAATTTCTAAAAGCGATGTTTTTTTCTCTCAGCATTTGTTTTTACACACAAGTTAAAGACCTCATCGAATACAGACAGTGTCCCGTTTGTCAGGGTGGCTGCTGAAGGAGGACCTCACCCGTGCAAATACAGAGCACAATGTTCAGTTTTCAAGGCGGCTGTTTTGAGACGCTTGTGTCAGGACTATACACAGCTGCACAGTGGGAAGCTCAAGACCCAGCTTTTGTATTGGTACAGGGGCAGCACGAGGAAGGTGCGATGTAGTCCTTGGGTGTCATGGAGGGCACAAAGGTATTAATCAGAAACTAGATTTGTGTCAGCTGTCTTTCCTTTGACATGCCTGCAATTGTCCTAGCATGGCTCTAGTGCAGATGAGAGCTGGACCTCTTCAAACTGCATTTTCTTGTGTCATTGTGCTCTGCAAGGTGTTGCAGAGACTGTTAAACCCAGAAGTATGGAAAGGGCATTTTGCTGTGAAGAAAGCAAGCAGGTGCAAAAAGAGGACAGATGTGCTCTGCCTGGTGCACTGTGCTGGATGAAATGAAGCTTACCAGTAACATTGCCCTTTGGGTCTATAGCACAAGTCCTCAGTGCCATGTATCTTGTGAGCCTTGCAACCATTCAGCCCCCAAGGACCACTCATTCTGTGGCCACAGAGATGCAATGGCAGTAGGACTTGCCATCCAGCCTGGCATTCAAAGGAGATGGTGCTGTATAGAAGGGGGAGATAGGCTGGGGAATGTGTTTCCTCCATATGTTTGGGAAAGATTTGGTGTGAAACCATCACTGTGGTAATTAGTGTTTGGTGCCAGTGTTTTCCCATGTCACCCCACAGTGCAGTCTGTTCCCAGGCCTAGGCTGGGTGAGATGATTTTGTTAGTTTTGCTAGGGAAGCCTCTGCCCACATTGCATGGTGTGTCCCATAGCCAATCCACGTGGCAACAAGGAGTCTTGCTGAGTAAATCCTTCCAAATGGCTAGGCTATGGGTTTCCCCCTCTCCTCCTTCTTTTGCACTCTCCCCAGAGGTTCAGTCTGTTGCAGTCAGACTTCTGAACCATATTGAGCCCTGTCCTCAAACTGTGCTCCCTGCAGGGGCTCCAGTGGCAGCTTTTGTTTCTTTCTTTTTGTAGCCAGCTTTACGATATAACTTGATGCAGGGGGAGACAGATAATTAGGCAGTGTTGGCAAATGCAGCTTTACAAAGGTATCGTGCACGCTTGGACAGAGCTTTTGTGATGCCCTGTTGTTGCCTTCCTGCCTGTGCCGCCCGAAGAAGGCACGAAGTTCCCGCACGAAAGAGCCCAGCAGTTGTCCTCTCTGAAAGCTGTTGTTCCTTTCCATGTGTGCTTTTTGCCATCTGGTGGTAGCAACATATCACAGTACTGTTTGCCTCATTGCGCTTCTTAGGAGTCCTCTCTAGGCTCTAAAATTGTGCTCTAGGAGTCCTCTGCTTGCTATTTCCCCTCAGAAGGAAACGGGTTGCCTTTCACCTCTGTCTTTGTGTAAGCAGTTCCCTGATGGGCTTTCCCTTTTAAAGTGATCGACTGGAATCTGCCTGAAGCAGAAGGAAGTACTCAACAAATTAAGCCACAGGCTCCAGGTAGTAGCTGTAGATGGGGTGATTGGCTGCCGTTTGCAAAATTACTCTCTGCTTACACTGGCTATGGGACAGTAACTCTGAGAGAGGGCCAGTACCCAAGAGCTGGAAGTGGCAAAGTCCACCACTGTAGCTTAACCCTGGAAGGGGTGATTGCTCATAGCCCAAATGCTGAACAATATAAAGAATTAATGTCTTTTCCATGCTCCTTCTTGGGAAAAACATTTTTTTTTCTAAACATCTATTACTGCCAGATAAGAACTTCAGCTGAATTTTGAGAAGGCTAGCAAAGAAAGAAAAAAAAAACATACCAAAAGCAAATATACCTGGAATGTGTAGCTTATTATTGGTATACTGCGTTTTTCCTAAGATGTCAAAGACTGCAACTGCTAATACAGAATGTTCCCAACAAGCATAAATGTTGCATATTTGCCCACAGAAACAGTCCTACAAGTAAGTCAAATTGCCCGCTCTGGATCATCTTCCCTCTTTTATTTATTGCGGGACATGGTTTCATAGTGTGCCAAGCTGGGGGAAAAGCCCTTTCCTTATCTTTAAGTGGTGTCATGTGGTTAAGAAATGATGTTCTTCTACATGCACCTAATGCCCCATTAAAGTGTTGTTATGTTGCCTCAAAGCCTGTAAGTGCATAATATTTAGATTTTTGGGTGTTTTTTTTTCAATTCAGCTTCAGTTTCTTCTTCTGTCCCAGGAAACTGATTTACAATACTCTTAAAATAATCTTCCCCTATAAAAAACTTTCAAGCTGCCTAGTTTAATGTTATAATCTCGTAGAATGAAAGTAAAAGGCTCCTTGTGCTTGTTGTCATTAAACTTTGTGCTGGTTTAAGCTTCAGGCTCTGTTCCTTGCCCACAGAAATAGTCTGATAATGGTCCTTTAAGTATCAGAGAAGCTGAGAAACTGTCAGGTACCTGTAGGAGTGATGTAAAGAACTGGCAAATTTTTCTCTTGAAGAGAGGCTTTTTAATAATAAATTAAAATGAGTAGATAGAAATGGTAAAAGAACCCTTCTCTGTGGCTGGTGCTCAGCTGGCTGTATTTGGTATTCTCAAGAGGTAGGCAGTTACCCTGTTTTACCGGTGGTTTGGTGTTTGTTTCTTTTTGGTAAGAAAGAACATGCTGAATACATTTAGCTCTCTGTTACTACTTTTCCCTGTCTTTTCAGTTACTATAACCACTTTTTGTTTCTCATGTCATATTTGAATCACAAACTAGCTTGCTATGTCTGTCCGGAGCTCCCTGCAAAAGGCAGGGAGTGTTCCACTACTGTTGTACAATTTCAGGCTTTTTCCCTATAGAAGTCGAACCCATAACTAGAGGGAAAATGGACA